GGACCCCCCTCCCCTCCGCCCCTGTATATAAGGGTAGTTATACTTTGATAATATTGAATGTTGCTCTGTCAAAAGTCACTAGTGTGAAATCGTTCGAGTATGATAAAAATCATGTGAATGTTGCAAATAATCAATGGAAAATTCATCAGTCTTGAATAGTAAGATATTATGACATACATTTCATCCGTTTTAAGTTGATTGGATTATATTGAAGAAGGGATTATAGTTTCACGGCAAATGGATAAGTTTGATTTTGTCATCTACATGTGACATTTTTTCGTCACATATTATCATGACAAATTGCTAGTTATCAATCAGGGACAACGAACGTAAATTAATTAATTTAGATGAAATAGTGGTAAATTAAAAGGAGAGTTTTAATTTATCTTATTTTAATTAGATCAAAATAATCTCATCATTCGATATCGTGATTGAGAACCTAATATGTCACACACACAAGGCAAGAACTAAAAGAAAACAAGTATGGGACATTTGTAGAATTAATTAATTTGATTATTTACTAATGGTTTGAGTTAAGTAGTTAGATTAATTAATGGGTCTACTTATGTTTAGTGAGTGGGTCAAGCCTACCTAAACATCCGTTAATTAACAATTATGGTTTGGGTTTTTCATTACACAGCTACATCATTCATAATCTTGATAGCACGAGAAAAGAAACACTAATCTCTCATCCTTGTTTTCTCGTATGGATTATTATTGGAGGTTGGATAATTAGACAATTGTGACATGGAAAGATAGTATTAGATCGAGTATCATAAAGGATGGGAAAGATCATGATTGTTCGTAATCAAAATTCTCAAAGAATTTTGAAGAACTTGATAAAGGTAAATTCAAATCACGCTTTCTATTTAAATACAATGACAACCTTTGAAATGAATTGAAAAATATTTTAAATTTCCTTGTGCATGTATAAGTAAATTTCTAACAGTGATATTAGAGCCAACTTCGTATTTGTTAGGAGTTTTTTTAATCTTCGATACAATCAATGATTGATTATAGTTATTTTGATGTTTCTAACTCGGTAATTAGTTCATAACGTCTCCACCTTTCACTATTATTGTGGAAAACGTCCACACCTTTCATTTTTTTGCATTTTCACCCCTATTTCCACCTTTCATTGTGCAAAATATTTTTTTTTAAATCAATTTTCTCAATTAAAAATTGTGAAATGACGAAAATACTCTTCATTCAAAATAAAACAAAAGGAAAAAGAAATAAACTAATTTCAAACATAGTCCCGACTTTTTTGAAAAGCGCAAATGAGTCTCAAATAAATTATTTAAAGGGTAATTAGCACAAAATGTCCCTACCTTTCACTATTATTGCGAAAAACATCTATACCTTTTATTTTTTTGGCATTTTCTCCCTTAATTATAATTTGATAGCGCAAACTATCATTTCTATCCATTGTCATCCAATTTCTCAATAAAAAATAGTGGGACGACGAATATACCCTCATATTTAAATAAAAAAGCTAAAGAATTAATTGCACCATTGTCCCAATTTTTTTAAAAAGTGCAAATGAGTCCCCAGTAAATTATTAAAAAACTACTTTTTTTTATAAAAAGTGCAAGCGAGTCCCAATTAAATTTATTTAAAAATTTAAAAAATAAAAAATTTTAAAAGTGCAAACAAGTCCCAAATAAATTATTAAAAATTAGAAATTAAAAATATATATTTTTTATTTAAATATGAGAGTATATTCATTATTTCACAATTCTTTATTGAGAAATTGGATGAAAATGGATAGAAATGATGGTTTGCACTATCAAATTATAATTAATGGAGAAAATGCAAAAATAAAATAAAAGGTATGGATGTTTTTCGCAATAATAATGAAAGGTATGGACATTATATGCTAATTACCCTTTTAATAATTTATTTAGGACTTATTTGCGCTTTTCAAAAAAGTTGAGATTATGTTTGCAATTAGTTTTTTCTTTTTTCTTTTGTTTGATTTAAAGGAAATGGTATTTTCGTCATTTCATAATTTTTAATTGAGAAAATGGATGAAAATGACATTTTGCGCAATGAAATGTGTAAATAAGGGTGAAAATGCAAACAAATGAAAGGTAAAGACG